CCCCAAAACCCCAAAACCCCAAAACCCCAAAACCCCAAGATTACCGGCAACAATTGAAATTTTTACTTATTTATTTAAACTTTTGAGTTAGCAAGTTGTTTTCTTCTTGCTCTAGTCATTACGCCTGCACCTTTAGATAGAATATTCTCCTCATCAATAACATTAGTTTTCCTTTGAGTTTTCTTCTTCTTTCCTCTAGGTTTTGGCTTTGTTTTTGGTTTTGGCTTTGTCTTTGGCTCAGCAGATTGAATATTCTGTTTGTCAGACTCAAAATTTTCCTTCTCAGATTCTGAATCCTCCTTTCCAGAGGTAGAGTTCTTGTTGTCAGAGAGTTTTTGGTGAGGAGTTATTCCTCCGCAGCCAGAATCTACCATCTCTTCATCTTTTGATGTAGAAAAATTCATCCGAATTGACTGCTTGTCAGTTCTCTGATGTTCCTCTTTATCTGAGTTGTAAAACTCTTCTTGATAAAATTGAGCTGAGAAGGGCGATGTTTGGGCATCTCTGAGTTCTTTCCTTTCTTCAATATCCATACTGCCAAGTTTTTCAGTCATCAGTTGTATGTCCTTATTTCTGTGTCTTGGGCTTATTTTTATAAACTACATACTTGCCTTGAGTGTCTTGGGTGATAATTTCATCCCCGATAATTTTTGGAGCTACATTGTCTTTAAAATTTGTCAAATATCTCCCATAATTAGGATGCTCTTTCTGATACCTTGTGTGAAAAGAGAGTAAATCATTAGCATGTCCGAACTCATCACGCTCAAGGAAGAACCTTTCCTGTTCTAACAAGATCGGGATATTTATCTGTGTCATCTCTTCTGTGGTAAAACTTGGGTTATTCATCTGGCTCTCGAGCAATTTTGATCGATGGAAATACTGGTCTTTAAATCCATAATTCTTATTTTTGAGACAGTCCTTTCCTTTTAGCGAGCTCTGCGAGGGTAATTTTGAACATATCTAGCTTACGAGTAAGAATCTCCTTGCAATTAGCAGCTAGCTTCTCATTCTCTTTAATAGCCTCATCAAATTCTTGGTTGAGTGTATTCTTCAGTAAAGCATTTGCTACTCTTCTTTGATTCTCATCCATTTCAGTAATAAATTTAGAATCTCGTTCTCAAGGGATGTTATCTTGGTCAGGCTCTGAAATAGGCTGGAGATATCTTTCTTCCTCATTTACATTGGTATAACTAACTTGACTAAGTCTCCTTTCATCCATTTTGCGGAAAAATTATATAATTCAACTAAAGAAGCAGAGGGAGGGGTTTTGGGGTTTTGGGGTTTTGGGGTTTTGGGG